AGCAAACAGATTTGTGGTGAAGGATTTTGAAAGCGTGATAAAAACAAGAAGCATAACATAAAAGAATGCGGCAGAACTAAGACCAAACTTATCTGTCACGTTAACACATGTAAAGTAGAGTCATCCAGGCTGGGGAAAAAGAATGTTAGGATCGATCACAAAGCCAAAACTAACCTTATTACATATGAGACATCTCAAACGAAGTGATCCAGAAAGGTTGAAAATAAAAATGGGGAACAAAGGTGTATGTAGGCAAATGCAAACAAAAAGAAATCAGGGGTCATGGTGTCATTATCAGAAAAGGCTGGATTCAGAGCAAGAAAGGAGTAAGTGAAATGAGTAATGGCCTGTTACGATGCTGTATGGTACAATTTGCAATGAAGATCACATTCTGAATCTTTGCACCAACTCAGCACCAGTGTTTCTGAGGCAAGAGAACAAGAGCTACAAGGTAATAGAGAATTATGGTAGTAATGGGAGGTTGGACTTAGCTCATGACAGAGTAAAGGATAGAAATGAGGCTAGGCTCAAAAACCTAAAAACAGAACTACCCTACGACCCAGCAGTTGCATTGCTAGGCATTTATCCACGGGATACAGGTGTGCTGTTTCGAAGGGACACATGCACCCACATGTTTATAGCAGCACTATCAGCAACAGCCAAAGTATGGGAAGAGCCCAAATGTCCATCGATGGATGAATGGATAAAGAGGATGTGGTATAGATATACAATGGAGTATTACTCTGCAATCAAAAAGAATGAAGTCTTGTCATTTGCAACTACGTGGATGGAACTGGAGGGTATTATGCTAAGTGAAATTAGAGAAAGACAAAAATCACATGACTTCACTCATACGAGGACTTTAAGAGACAAGACAGATGAACATAAGGGAAGGGAAATAAAAATAATGTAAACACAGGGAGGGGGACAAAGCAGAAGAGACTCATAAATATGGAGAACAAACTGAGGGTTACTGGAGGGGTTGTGGGAGGGGGGATGGGCTAAATGGGTAAGGGGCACTAAGGAATCTCCTGAAATCATTGTTGCACTAGATGCTAACTAATTTGATGTAAATTTTAAAAAATAAAAAAAACAAGAAGTGAGGCTGGGCTAGGAGTGCCCAATGAAAATAACGAGCAAGGTAGATCTATCTAATTGATAGATATTGAGCTCCAAGCCCCAAAGATAGAAAAGGCACCCTCTTTTCAAGTGCCCATAAGACATTCATAAAATTGAGCATTCACAAAACCTCAATAAATTCCCTGAAGTAGAAATAACATAGACAAGGATGATGGGGGGGAAAATAGTTAATGGCTCATATACCAAAGCACTTTCCAGTCCGAATAGACCCAATCCAGAGTGGACGCTGGTCCACCACACTGGGGTACGCCAGTGAGCATCAGCCCAGAATGCAATCGATGTGCTCTGAGCACAGTGTAATAAAGTAGAAAACCATCACAAACCCAGAAAATAAAGAGCCATGACAACAACCAAGCTCTTGACTCAGATGAAAGAAGTATTCCAAACCAAACAGGAGGTATCTAGGAGACGGCTATGAACACTGCATAAGGATCTATATAGGGTGACTTCAGGGCTAAGAGGGAAGAGCTTAGTCATAAAGAAATACATTCACGTATTCTTCTTTCAGCTTTTGCATGGTCTCTCCATGTCCCTGTCGTCCTCTCATGCCACTGCCATTCATTTCTTCTCAGTCCAGCTCTCTCAGAGCGTCTTGAAGGAATGGCTTTCTGTGGCACACTTCAGAGCCTTCTTAGCACAGAGGTGTTTCTAGGGCTCAGGTGGGTTCTCCAGGGTTTTCTGTCCAGGGGGAGAGAGAGAGAGAGAGAGAGAATATATACATGAAGATTTATGATAAGGGATTGGTTTGTGCATCATGGAGGCTGAGATATCTCAAGATCTGCAGTCAGCATGCCGGAGATCCAGGGGAGCTGGAGTAAGCCCCTATCTGAGTCTCAGTCCAAAGGTAGGGGAAGACCGATGTCCCAGCTTGAAGACAGTCTGACAGAGAATCCTTACTCAGCCTCTTTGTTCTATTCAGGCCTTCAGAGGATTGGATGAGACCCACCCGCGCTGGGGAGGGCAATCCACTTTAGTCTTCCACCGATTCAAATGCTAACCTCACCAGGAACACTCTCACAGACATGACCAGAATATATTGAACCAAGTATCTGGAAGCCCTGTGGCCCAGTCAAGCTGACATATAAAATTAATCATCACAGCTACTAAGACATAAAAGAATTCCCGAACAAATGGGGAAAAAAAGGACTTCTGTTGGAAGACTCCATATTTAAAAGTTGTCAGTACTCCTTATTTGTAAAATTAACTCCATCCCAATAAAAATGCCAACAGGATTTTTGGGAATTTGATAAGCTGATTCTAAATTTCACACGGCAGAAGGCATAAGTTAGAGTAGCCAGGAATATTCTGAAAAAGAATAGTGCCGATGTGGCACTAACATATGTGAATGAGCTCAGAGCTGCCTGTCAAGGCACTGTTCTTAAGTTGCTCTTGTCCTGCAGCCTCACTGCCTTTGCTCAAATCGTGGACCACACAGAGCACGATCCTGCCACAGGACCTTTGCTGAGACTTCTGGCTATTTGAATGATGTGTGTTGCACCTGCTTCCGTACCTCCTGCTATTTCTTTCTTTCTTTAATGTATTGAGAGCACACATTGTGTGAGGGAGAAGGACAGAGGGAGAAGGAGAGGGAGAGAATCTTAAGCAGGCTCCGTGCCCAGTGTGGAGCCCCACTCAGGGCTCGATCTCATGACCCTTAGATCATGACCTGAGCTGATATCAAGAATTGGCGCTTAACCGAGTCACCCAGGCGCCCCCTCTTGCCTATTTAATGCCTACTCAATCATCACTTCTTTAGGGAAATCTTGCCTTCCCTCTTCTCTGATCATATGTCAGTTTCCTTTGTTTTCTGCTGCTTTCTTTCCTTGCTTGTATTTCAGTTGGTAATTATATAATCATTATTAAGGATGTCTGATAAATGCTCTTTTTTCTTAGTAGGCTGTAAGCTCAGTGCCTGACCTTGAGTAAGTTTTCGGTAAATATGTGTTGGTGAATAATCTCCAGTCTGCTTGATTTAAAGGGTGATTTAAACCCAACAATTGTCTTCTAAACTCAATAATCAGGAGTCTGCCTGATGTGGGTCCCGTTCCAGTATCAGAGGTAATGAGATCTTAATGGGTTGTTTCTTTCACCCGTGCACATTTGAAGATGTAAATGCTTTTTGATAGTGTTCTGCGTTAGAGGGTAACCTCCTAAAATGAAGGGCCATACCTAAAATGGTCTTGCATGCCTTTTAATATTATGTCCAGTGGACACTATGTGTTCATAAGAAGGAGGTATGACATAAGGAGGTTCATAAGAAGGAGGTATGACATAAGAAGGAGGTAAGAAGGAGGTATGTCCTTCATAAGAAGGACATTATGGAATGATTACATCATTTACTGAAAAAGGATGTTAGTCATTGAAAGAAAGAATCACAGCTATCGAAGAACTTATTTTCCTAATGAATTTTATAAAACCGTGTGCTGTACGTATCCTGGTTCAAACCACTCATAAGGGACCAAAGGTCCTCATGTGGCCTATTTTAGAAAATACTGCTGTGGTGGTTATTGCTGTGGGTAAGTTACTTCTGAATATTAAGTGAGGCTGAACAGGATGTGGTTCTCTTATTAGATCTAGTTAAACATTTTATGCTTTCTCCCCAGAAGTACATACCTACCATCTTCTTGGATATGTTGTGATTGGCAAACACTGGCTGTTACTAAGTGCACTGGAGGTTTTGTTTGGCATTTTGTGGATCGAAACACACTAGTCATGACAACGCTTGTTACAGTGAAGGGCTTTGAGATGACTTTTGCATTCATGAATATTTCCAAACAGTAGTCTTTGGCAGTTCAGTAGCTGGGCAGCCATAAGCCAGTTTTACTAGTGTGTCCCCTGAGGCCTCTCAGATAATTCCAGGAAACCCTCCTTTATGTGACCCCTTTCGTATTTCTTCAAAAATGAATGGCTCTCCTGTATGTCTTTCACAAAGACCACAGGCCCTGGAAACTTCACAGAGGTGGGCAGAGGTATATCCATCCAAGCTCAGGAATAATTCTGAGTAAGACAGAAACAGAAGCAGAGGTTACAGACTATGACCCACAGGCCAAACCCATCAAATCTGCTCTGCAGATGTGTTTATTTGGATCACACAGTGTTTCTTTTTTAAACATTTAAATTAGTTGCCAAGTTGCAAAAACTGGGAATTTTTACTTCAAAAAGTCTGGATATATGACTTGCTTGAAAAATTGGAAAAAATCTGGCCACTTTGGGATCCACATTTCTGCACTGGCAGCCATCAGCGGAGCTGAGTCTCCACAGAGACTCCCCAGGCACTGCCGTGCGATCACCGATGTTCTGCATTCATCTGAGTCACCATCGTGACCTTGAGATAGGCTCTGAGGTTGAGAATAAGTGGTAATCGTGAATAATTACGAAGGGGGCCGTCTTTTACTTTTAACTCACATGATCTCTTTGATAAACATATGACACACTTTATTCAAAAGATGAGATGAATTGATGATTTTTGTTACCTGGAAACGTAAGGACAATGAAAACTCCCTCTTTGCTGTGGACCTTGTCACATTGCGTCTCTTCTGACAGTTCTTTGTGGACTCTATCAGTTCTGGAAAGAGGTCAAATAGCATTTGACTTGGGTGGAAGGAAGCCTTCTAAAGTGGCAAAGGCCAGTTCTTAAATGCCATCCTGGGGGAGCACATCATTCATTCCTGGGCTGCCTCCCGCCTCCTTCAGAATTTTGAGAATGAAATGATCTGGATGAGACACTTCCCTGGGCAGCATTTTCGACATGTTTGGACCACAAAGAATGCTCTGTGTTTAATCTCGTTTTTTTACAGCTGCACAGAAAAGACTGTTTAAAACTCTCCTTTATATTTTGTCTTTTGGGGGAACCCTGTCAGGAAATTTACGACCGTCTCTTGGAAGTCCCGGTCACTAGGGAGCAGTTACACCACTATCGGAATGTGGCCGAAAGTGCTCGAAGTGACCTTGCTGCAACTTTGGTCAAATTTGAATGTGCTCAGTCTGAGGTAAGATTATGCATCTTCATGACTCAGAAGTGGACCATTTTAGTTTCTTATTGAGTGAAGCAGAGTGTAGAGGTGATTAGAAATAGGCTAGGATGGGCTGCTTGGGTGGCTCAGTCAAGAGCGTCTGACTCTTGACTTTGGCTCAGGTCATGATCTCATGGTTTGTGGGATCGAGTCCCATGTTAGGCTCTGTGCTGACAGCGTGGAGCCTGCTAAGGATTCTGTCTCTCCTTCCCTCTCTGCCCCCATGCCCCTGCTTGTGCATGCTCTCTCTCTCTCTCTCTCTCAAAATAAATAAAGAAACTTTAAGAAACAGGAAGGGGGGGGATACAGCTTTACAACTTTCGGCGAAGGTTGTACTTATTCCGTTATGGTGCACCTACTCCCCTTGTAGGGAATTCCTGAAAGGTTATGCATTTGCCGTGGTGCAAAGTGAGGTGACATGGGCTGCATTCTGGATGTCAGAGGGGCTTCACAGCCTTGAGAGACTTGGGGACACCTGATGGCTTTGCTTGAAGCTGCCTTGGCTTTGGGGCATTTTTGGCATCTTACTGAATATGTTCCTTTAATGTGGACTGTTTGCAATCTGGAGCTCTTAGGATGGAATTCTGGATTCCTGGGATAGTGGTAGCTCTGACTGGCTGGGGAGATTCTAGGATGATGATTGGGATCCATCTACCCTCCTGGCTGGATCTGGTCGATTATGGAGTTTCTTGAGAGAGTCTCTCTAGGTCCATTCTGTTCATAGCCTGATGGCCCTGAGGGAGTCTTAGGCTTCCCTGGGAGATAACTAGTGTTTTCACTAGGCTGCTGGGACCCCACCGAGAGATGATTTGATACCTTGTATGTGTGTGAAAAATTGTATGCATGTATACTCCCGGTTCCAAAGTTGGCATTGGCTTTTTCCTCTTTCTTTTTGTAAGTTAAAATCAAGGGGGTCCAACTCCCTCATTCGTCTCAGGGGAGAGGGAAGCAGAGACAGTCTTAAATAAAGGCCAAAGGACCTGCCAAGTTTTCTTATGGGGGGGCCTGACATCCTATTAGGGCACAGACATCGTTCAGTATTTTGATGGCACAGAATTCATAAGTTAAAATGTTTCTTTTGTATACATCTTGTAAGGATTTTTCTTTTCTTCCATATTTTTCTTGGAAATGTTATTATTATTATTATTATTTTATTGCCCACAATAAGGATCTAGAAGGCAAGTGGAAGAAATACAGTGATATGTCAAATAGTCTGTATCTACTTAGGAACCACTTGTGGCCATGAAATTACAAGTATTTTAAGTTTCTTGTTTCATTGTCTGTCAGCAGCAATAGCAGCAACACAGATTTAGAAAATGAATTACCATTGCAAAATATTTTATTGCTTTTTGCAAAAAAACACCACAAATGTCTCTTGAGTGGCACTGAATCACCCCTAAGACATTGCTCCAATGGTTTTGAAAGAGACATAGTATGAAGTCCATTCTTTTTTTTTTTTTTTTTAAATTTTTTTTCAACGTTTATTTATTTTTGGGACAGAGAGAGACAGAGCATGAGCGGGGGAGGGACAGAGAGAGAGGGAGACACAGAATCGGAAACAGGTTCCAGGCTCCGAGCCATCAGCCCAGAGCCCGACGTGGGGCTTGAACTCACGGACCGCGAGATCATGACCTGGCTGAAGTCGGACGCTTAACCGACTGCGCCACCCAGGCGCCCCTGAAGTCCATTCTTTAGGCATAATTTCTCATCTGGTGATACAGACGCAAATAGCAAAAAAGGAAAATAAAAGTTGGATTAGGTCATGTACAAACGTGTGAGATTTGAAATTATGGTTTTGGGTTTCTTTATTTTTTTAAATTAAAAAAAATTTGTTTAATGTTTACTTATATTTGAGAGAGAGAGGTAGAGCACAAGCAGGGGAGGGGCAGAGAGAGAGGGACACACAGAATTCGAAGCAGGCTCCAGGCTCCCAGCTGTCAGCACAGAGCCCAACATGGGGCTCGAACTCAGGAACCGTGAGATCATGACCTGAGCCAAAGTCAGACGCTTAACTGAGCCACCCTGGCGCCCCATGGTTTTGGGTTTCTTAGAGGTACTTCGAACTTACGCCACTGAAATCCTTTTCCTCCTTTTATGGGCTTTCTATGTTAGCTTCGAGATCTCCGATCCAAGATGCTTTCGAAAGAAGCCTCCTGTCAAGAGTTGAAAGCTGAAATGGAGAATTACAAAGAAAATAATGCTAGAAAATCATCTCTCCTCACCTCTCTAAGACACAGAGTTCAGGAGCTGGAAGAAGAATCAGCAGCACTTGCCACTTCTAAAATTAGAACCGAAATCACAGCTCACACCGCAATCAAGGAGAACCAGGAGTTGAAGAAGAAAGTTGCGGAACTAGATGAGAACTTACAGTAAGGGTATTTCGATATATTTGTTAGTTGAGTTAGCGTTAAAATACTAGCTTCTGATAGCAGGACACACGCTTGAAGGTACTGGTGTTTTGCCTTCTTTGGCCCTGAAAGTCAATTTGAAGGAGAAAAACGTTATTGACCTCAAATGTCTTTGGAGTCTTGAAAATTTTTCTCAAGCTCATTTCTCAATGTTACCAGGAACCTTGACAAACAAGGCCTTGTCCTAAGCATGTTTATGTCCAATTGATTAGGGCTGCAAATGCCTATATACATAATTTGGAAGATTTTCTGTAAGTAGAGGTTTAACCAGAGGTGGTGGAATACACAGAGAGGGAGGTGTTTATTCAGAAGCTGGCTGTAAAAATACCCCAGAAGCCCAGACCACTCCAGACCACCCCGAACACTCCTCATTAGATTTTATTGCCAGTTTATGCAGAGAACTCATGAAATCTGGGTTTTCCACACTTAGTTCTGGCAAAAGGTAATTATTGAGACAAAACTGGGAACTAGTTGTTCCTAAAATATACTTTTAAAATTCTATGTGTCATAACTTAACTAACTTTAATAATAGGATACTTGATATTTATTTTACTTATTCCATCTTTGAAAAAGAACCCCAACACTGGGGCACCTGGGTGGCTTAGTCGGTTGAGCGTCCGACTTCGGCTCAGGTCATGATCTCACAGTCCGTGGGTTTGAGCCCCGCGTCGGGCTCTGTGCTGACAGCTCAGAGCCTGGAGCCTGCCTCAGATTCTGTGTCTCACTCTCTCTCTCTCTGTCCCTCCCCTGCTCACACTCTGTCTCTGTCTCTCAAAAATAAACATTAAAAAAAAAAACAAAACCCAACACTTCCAACTCTTGTCCTCTTTTTGTCCTTCTGCTTCCAGGAAAACTCCTTCAAATGTGTGTATAGACTCACTGTCTCCAGTTCTTCTCCTCTCCTCTCTTGGGTCTACTCCACTGACACCTCTCACTAAGGTGACCAGTGACTGTATGTTACAGATTAAATGATCAGTCTTTATCTTACTTGACCCACCAGTACATCGGTCACAGTTGGTCTTTCTCCTTGAACCACTTTCTTCTTCTGACTGCCAGGACACTACACATGCCTGCTTTGTACCTGTCCTCTCTAGCTGCCCTGCTGTAGTCCCTTTTATTTTTCCCATCTCCTCTCATCGCCTTCCAAAGACTGGAGTGCCCCGGGACTCAGTCCTTGAATCTCTTCTGGTTTCTATCTAAATTCGCTCTCTTGGTGATCTTGTCTCATGACGTTAAGATGATCTAAATGCTAGTTGACTCCCACATGTCTCTGTCTAGCCTAGATCTCTTCTCAGAGTCAAGACCCACATATTTTACTACCTACTGACCATCCCCATGTGGATGTCCAACAGGCATCTCAAACCTCACATGGCTGAAACGAAACTCTTGCTATTTCCACAGAATCCTCCTGCCCTTTTCCTTGTCTCCTTTAGTGATAATTCCATTCTTCTAGTCCGTCAGTCCAACAGTCTTGGTAATCATCCTCAGTCCTCTTGCTTTTTCACACTCCATGTCTGATCCTTCAATGGGTCCCATCATCCCTGCCTTCAAAATAAATCTAAATTTTGAGTACTTCCCATTGCTGCCCTAATTGCCAGTAACCTGATTCAAGCGACTACCATCTCTCTCCTGGATTTTTGAAGTAGCCTCCTAAGTGATTTTCCTGCTTCCACCTGTGCCCTTCGTAGCCAGAGTGATCCTATAAAAACATTCAAATTAGATCTTTTCGGTCCTATGCTCAGAATCCTCAATGACTTCTCACTCAGGGTAAAGACAAAGGATATTCTATGACCTAGAAGGCTCATCCTGACCTGGTTTTGCTTCCATTCCCTCTCTTATTCTTTCCATCTTCGCTGTCCTTTGAAGATAACAGGTGTGATCCTACCTCAGGACTTTTGCACTTGCCAATCCCTTTGCCTGGAAAGCTCTTCCCCCAAGTATTGCATGGTTACCCCTCTGCTCCTTTTAGATCTTCACTCAGAAGTCACCTTCTTATAAGGTCTTCTATGAGTGACCACATCTAAAATTTTACCCTGCTCCCCCCAAATATTTCTCACCCCCTTTCCTGCTTAATTTCTTCCCTCCAGCTTTTTATTTTTTTATTAAAAAAATTTTTTTTTCAACGTTTATTTTTGGGACAGAGGGAGACACAGCATGAACGGGGGAGGGGCAGAGAGAGAGGGAGACACAAAATCGGAAACAGGCTCCAGGCTCTGAGCCATCAGCCCAGAGCCTGACGCGGGGCTCGAACTCATGACCGTGAGATCGTGACCTGGCTGAAGTCGGATGCTTAACCGACTGCGCCACCCAGGCGCCCCTTCCCTCCAGCTTTTTAAATAACGTAGTATATATTTTACATACATTAATTTTGGTGGTTGTCCATCTTCCCAACTAGAACATAAGCTTCATGAGGGCAAGGATGTTCATCTGTTTTATTTACTACTATGTCTTGAGTATCTTTAATAGGGCTTGGTCCATAGTAAGTACCCAATCAATATTTACTAAACAAATGAATAATAAAATGATATGTAATAAAAATTTTTTTCAATATAGAAGATTGCCAAAAATATTAAAATTACTCAAGACCTTATGATTCTCCAAGAGTTTATACTGAACATTTTGGTGGACAGGTTTTCATATAGTTGTACATAAATTATATCATGTAATGAACTATTTTTTACTGAATAATATATTGTAGATATTTTAAAAAGGCATTCATTATATCATTTTTAATAGCCCATGATACCCATTGCCTGAGATATTGTAACTTACTTAACCAGTTCTCTTTGCTATTTCCTGTAGGCACTTAGGTTAGTTCTAGTCAAAAAATTATTATAATCCAAGATGCAATGAATATTCATGTGCATTCATATTTTCAAATTTATGTGATTATGTCCTTAGGATAGATTCCTGGAACTTTGTTGGGTCAAAGTGAAATGTGAATAGAAGTGGAAATAGTTCAGCAACCATTAGGATTGAGAAACAAGATTGAAATCTTGGAGAGAATGTGTGGAATCATACATGTAAATCAATCAGAATCATAGCATTAACTGTGCCTTTCATGAGTCAGAGAGATGACTAAATATTACCTTTTAGATGCTGAAAATAAGAACTTAGAGATATACTCATGTTAGTCTTTTATTGTTATACATTTTTCTAAATAGAAATATGATTTGATTTTGAGTATATGCAATTACATGCTTTGTTAATCTTTGAATAGAGTGAAAGAATTTGCAGTAAACACTCAACATGGTAAAAAGGGAAAGCAATAATCATGTTTATTATCTAGGGTACTGAAAAAATGATACCAAATTACTGAGATGATTCTAATTTGTCTTTAAAGTGTGTCTATTTTTTTTATGATCTCTTAGTCTCTAACATTTAAAGCATTAGAAATAGACCATACTATTTCAGCAAACCTATCTGAGATTTGAAATGAAATATTCATAGCAGAGCATAATCAACTGATTTTCCTTGACTGGCCCATATCAGTACTCTTTAAAAACTCTGGATGTGTGAAAACTAATAATAGTCTTTGCTGGTGATTTAACATCTCTTTTTTCTAGAGGGGGAACATCCCCTGCTCCTGATATATTTTTTATTATAGTTATGCTTGGCCATGGACCAGGGAATGCCCTAACTAACGCTTATAGATCACTGTGTAATGTCTGAAAATAAAACAAAGGATGATGCACTAGAAGAAAAATAGCAGCGGGGCATTTGGGTGGCTCAGTCAGTTAAGCATCCAACTTTGGCTCAGGTCAAGATCTCAAGGTTTGTGAGTTCGAGCCTCACATCTAGCTCTGTGCTGACAGCACAGAGCCTGGAGCCTGCTTTGGATTCTCTCTCTCTCTCTCTCTCTCTCTCTCTCTGTCCCTCCCCCACTCATGCTCTCCCTCTGTCTCTCAAAAATAAATAAACATAAAAAAAAAAGAAATATAGCAGCACTGTCCTTTTTACTCATGAAAACCCAAAGGAGACCCATGACTATATATATCCATGTGTGATCTAGAGATTTATTGCTGCTTCTGCAAATCCTAACTGGTGGAGGACAAGAGGCAGAGAGTCTGTTTCCTTTGCTGTTACTAGATCTAAGATGCTATGAAGATTTTTCTACATTTCTGCAAAGCGTAGATACCCAGGATGTTTTTCACTTTTCTCCTTCCCTTATGGGGCTTGCATGACAACGATGTCCTCTGTGTCTGGGAAACTGTATTGTGTTGAAAATGGTGATAGGATTATAGAGAACTTAAGTTTCGAACTTTGATGAATGATCTCTTGTATGGCGTTAAAACTTGACTTATTTGTTAATTTGCCCTATAGAAAGTGTTTAAAGGAAAATGAGGAGAATAAGAAGCAAGTCTCAAAGAATTGCAGGAGACATGAAGAATTTCTAGCTCAACTTTGTGACTGCTTAGATCCGGACAAGAAGAATGAAAAGGCGTCAGATGAAGATTTAATTCTAAAGGTGTTTGTATGCACATGAAAAAGAAGATAAATGTAGCGGTCATTCTGACACGTGCCATGAAAGGAAACGTTGTGGTAGAGTGTGGGGGTGATAGGGGAATGGAACAGTAGCCCAAGTATAGCATTACTTGACTGTGTGACCTGAGATAAACCTTAATCACCTCTCTGACTCAATTCCACAATCCTTTCTAACATTATTTGGGATTACTTGCCCTCCACAAAGGATTAATTGTTTTGTCTAAAATATGTTCAGGTTGCCAAATACGATTAATTATTCATTTTAACAATGTATTTTGGGGGATAGTATTTTTAGTTACAGACAGAAACACACACACACACACACACACACACACACACACACCCAAAACCAACTGTGTAATTTTTGGGATACTTCTTGAGTAGAAGGTTAAGATTAGTTCTTTTTTTTAAAAAAAATTTTTTTTTATTAACATTTATTTATTTTTGAGACAGAGAGAGACAGAGCATGAACGGGGGAGGGTCAGAGAGAGGGAGACACAGAATCTGAAACAGGCTCCAGGCTTTGAGCTGTCAGCACAGAGCCTGATGCGGGGCTAGAACTCACGGACCATGAGATCATGACCTGAGCCGAAGTCGGCCGCTTAACCGACTGAACCACCCAGGCGCCCCAAGATTAGTTCTAAAGTACTTTTTAAATTTTTGTTGAAATCAAATAATAAAAATCCTACTTTAATAGTAGGTTATGAGTAAGATTAAATTAGTTCTATCAAGTGAATAATTCACTTGGCACATAGTGATTCATTAGGGCACCTGAAAGTGTTGGGGCTCTCGCCATATCTTTGCTCATTTCACACCTTACATATCCTTGCTTCCTCACAGATTTCCTTGCAGCCAATCTTTTTTCATTAAAATTGAGGTGTGATTGACATGCAATATTATATTAGTTCCAGATGTACAGCCTAATGATTCAATACTTATATACATTGTGAAATGATCACCATAGTAAATCTAGTCCCCATCTGTCACCAGAAAAAGTTACAGAAATTTTATTATTTTTTTCTTGTGATGAGAACTTTCAAGATCTGCTTGCCTGCAGTTTTCAAATATGTACTAAATACCATTGACTGTAGTCACCTTACTTCACTCCACATCTCTATGACCTATTCATTTCACAGCTGGAGGTCTCTACCTCTCACCCCCTTTTACCCATTTCACCATCCCCCCAATCCCCTCCCCGTTGGTAGCAACCATTCTGTTCTCCATATACATGAGCCTTTTTGTTTTGTTTGTTCATGTGTTCTGTTTTTTAGATTCCACATGTAAGTGAAATCAGAGTATTTGTCTTTCTCTGACTTATTTCACTTAGTATAATACGCTCTAAGTCCATCCATGCTGTCACGAATGGCAAAATTTCATTCTCTTTTATGGCTGAGTAGTAGTCTGTTTTATATATATATATATATATATATACTAGAATTATTATTATATGATATATAATATTATACATTTATATAGTCTCACATCTTTACTCATCTGTTGATGGACACTTAGGTTGTTTCCCTCTCTTGGTTATTGTAAATAATGCTTCAGTGTACATATGGGTACATATATGTTTTTAAATAGTGTTTTTATTTTGGGGGGATAAATACTGAGAAGTGGAATCCTAGGTCATATGGTAAATCTATTTTTAATTTTTTGAGGAACCTCCAGACTGTTTTTCCACAGTGACTGCACCAATTTACATGCCCACCCATAGTGCACAAGCATTCCTTTTTCTCCACATCCTCACCAATAGTTATTTTTTATCATTTTGATATTAGCCATTCTGATGGATGTAAAGTGAAGTCTCATTGTGCCTTTGATTTGTATTCCCTGGATAATTCATGATGTTGAACATCTTTTCATGTGTCTGATGGTTATCTTCGGAAAAATGGCTATTCAGGTCCTCTGCCCATTTAAAAATATTTCTTTTTACATTTTTAAATTTATTTTTGAGAGAGAGAGGCAGAACACAAGTGGGGGAGGGGCAGAGAGAGAGGGAGACACAGAATCCGAAGCAGGCTCCAGGCTCTGAGCTGTCGGCACAGAGCCGGATGTGGGGCTCGAACCCAGGAACCATGAATTCATGACCTGAGCTGAAGTCAGTTGCTTAACCGACTGAGCCACCCAGGCACCCCATCTGCCCACTTTTTAAAATTAAGCTTATTTATTTTTTACAGAGAGCACACGTGGGCATAAGTGGGGGGGAGGGGCTGAGAGAGAGGGAGACAGAGAATCCCAAGCAGGCTCCTCGCTGTCAGTGCAGAGCCTGACTTAGGGCTCTGACCCACAGACCATGAGATCATGACCTGAGCCAAAACCAAGAGTCGGACACTTAACCAACTGACACCCCCATGCTGCCAGTCTTAAAGACCATGCCTCAGAGTTGTAGGAATAAGCTTCCCAACTGCACTGGCTGACAGCTGCAGAATAATCTTATTTTCCTTCGGGAAGTGTTCCTCTTCACCGATGGGTTTCGATAGTCCAGGCCTAGAGTCCACCCGATGAGCTCCAGGATGCTGGGCACATCTCTTCCCCCTCCCGGTTGCTCATCTGTGACCAGGAGCCTGGATGTCAAAGTCCCCTGTGCAGGGTCATTTGGGGGATTATTTTTAAAGCCAAGTGATAGGGAGAAGCAAAGAGAATGAAAAAACTCCTTCTTTCATGACCCCCTTTCCTCACATCAGAGACTGTCTCCAGGTGCTAATCCGGGTGTCGGTGCTGCATTCATTATGCCTTATGATTTTCTGTTTTCCAGATGCTTTGACATGTGGGGCCTTGCTGACCCAGGAGAGACTGTCTCCCAGGGTTAACCAGTTCCTCATAAAAGAGGCTCCTGGGAGCATGGTTTTCCTGTGCAAACCAACCACTCCCACATCCCAGCCCTTCGCTCTCTCAGGCTCTACCCTCTGGGCCACTGCCCCCCTTCCCTAATCACCGAGGGGCTGGGCACCAGACAAGTGGGGACAGCCCCTGCGCTCCTGTTGTTATTCAAACTAGCCAATCCTGAGCCTGCGTACCCCACCTTGCTCATTCCTTCCTGTGGAAACTGCCACAAAGACTTGCCCCTGTTATCTGTTGCTTCTCTGTGTCTCCTGACTGACCTGGCTGTTCCCCAGGCTGTGGCCTCATGTGGTGTGGCCTGCCCCGTCTTCTTGAGCACTGAGTAACAGACTCTTTTTCAGCGGCAGCTCTCTCCGGATCTGTTGGCTTCACCACACCCAAAGAGTGATAGAAACTGTATTTTAAAACACATGTTGGGATCCTAGGGCTTTAGCATCCCCAATACGTGAGCAGGTATTTAAAAAAAAATCACTGGTCAAGGTGCACAAAGGTTGCTGTTTTGATCAACACTCACGAGGTGTTCCCCTGAGAAGTGGGACAAAAGCACTCCTTCAGTTTCAAAGCTGTGTCCTCACTTTTATTTTTCTTTTAAGTTTATTTATTTATTTTGGCTTTTAAAGTTTATGTATTTATTTGCACGCACACATGTGGGGGAGGGGCACAGAGAAAGAGAGCCAGAATCCCAAGCAGTCTCTGCACCATCAGCGCAGAGCCTGATGTGAGACTTGAACTCATGAACTGTGACATCATGACCTGAGCTGAGATCAAGTCAGATGCTTAACCGAGTGCACCACCCAGGTGCCTCCACTTTCTCATTTTTAAAGCTCTCCTAATGTGCATGTACACTCCCAGGAAACCAAGGAGGCGTTCCAAGGAGACTTATTTGGCATTTGTCCATTTCGCAGATATTTAGTGAGTGACTACTATATGCTAGGCACGGTTCTGGGCGCTGGTGGTGCGGCAGTGAACGAGATAAGACTGAATCTGTGCTCTCCTAGAGCTTTCGTTATTGTGAGATAAAGATGAGGGGGAAATAAATATCTAGTATTCTGCCATGTAGGAAAAGGTGACAAAAAACCAGTCGGGATGTGGAGATACAGAGGGAAGCAGGTTAGAGGTGTGGGAGGCTAGTGTAGTAGACTGACCAAGGAGCACCCCTCTGAGGTGGGGACTTTTGGAAGCTGTTGGGGACTGAGCGTACACACAGGCAGAACAGTATTTCCTCAGGAAAGAGGAAACAGCTCTGAGGTGGGAGCAGGGCACCACGTTGACAAAGCTCTGAGGCTTAAGGATGGGTCACTCCCCCCCCCCCCCCCCCAGAGCCCTAACACAAATGCTGACTCGGGAGTGTGAAGTCTCAGCCCTTCCTATGGGCGTCCTCAGGGCCTTACCCGCTGAGCTGGGCAGAGGGGGGTGGGGGTGGGGGGGGGCTTGTTCCTTGGGGCCAAGGATCCTGTCTGATTTCATTTTCCCTCCTCATACATCTTACAAATCTTATTAATGCTTCCAGCTAACAACCCAAATGCACAACAACACAGAGTGAAAAGTTCTCCTAATCCCAATGATAGCCACTGTTTGAGCGTGTTATTCCAGATTTTTCTATGCTGATATTAATTAGAAGGATTTTCTTTTTCAAAAGAGAATCCTGCTTTCATCTCCGTAGGCCCCCCCCCCTCCCAGCCCCATGCCAGGTAGTGCCTTGGAGGCAGTTGGTGCCATGAGACGGGGGCAGAATAGAACTAACTCCCTTGCTTCCTCACCTACTGTAATCTCTGTAGAATATCAACTCCCCCAGATTACTGAAGCCAGGGGCTTGCTGATGCCTGCTCTGTCACTCGCTCTGTTGGGAAGCATTTGGCAGGACTGTCCTCCGTGTTGCCCTGTAGCTATCTCTTGATTAATTTTAATTTGATCTGTGGGTCTGCTCATAACAACAGTGTAGAGGCTGCTTTTGAAAATGTGCTCCTTTGAGTGGCTGGAGGGACCCTGCTTGCACTCGTCTCGATAACGCAGTCAGTGGGGTATGTAGATCAGAGGTGCTTAGAGGAAGTGGTTTCAAATTGTTCATTTTTACAGGACAACTGTAATTGCTTCCTCTTCAGCTTAGAGAACTGTGCAAGGAAAATGCATTCGTAAAAGGACAAATCGTTACTCTTGAAGAGACTGTAAATGTCCATGAGATGGAAGCAAAAGCTAGCAGAGAAACCATCATGAGGCTGGTTTCAGAAGTAAACAGAGCGCAGAAAAAAGCTGCCTCCTGCACTGAAGAGAAAGACAAGCTGGGCCAGGTACAGTATGTGAAGTGTGCGTGTGCATCTGTGATGGTGTTTACGAAGCAGAAATTGAAAACCAGATGTGGGCGAGCACACTAGCATTACTGGCCACAGTTTCAAAGGGCTGCTGTCAGCAGGCGGGCTGGGGGTGGGGGGGCAGCACGGGACTCAGTGACCTCAAGGGGCCATTTGATGCACATTTTTGTCTAATTAGGAAAAAAAAAAGAAATACGACACATTTAAACGTAGAATTTGTAGAGAATGTGCCCTACTTTAGTTAGACTCTAAGGATTTTAAAAATTCAAACATTCATTTTTTTTGAACAAATAGGTAATGCATCAACATTCTGAAGTTCAAAACTCTAAATGGACATAAGGGTGTATGGGGAAAGTCTTCCCTGCACCCACTGCCTCTGGCCACCCAGTTGTTCGCAGAGGCAACCCCTGTTAACAATTTTTTATATACTTTTCTAGAAATATTCTATATACACGTATATACGTGTTCTTTTTATTTAGTTTTTTAAATTTATTTAATTTGAGAGAGACAGAGTGAGTGAGTAGGGGAGAGGAAGAGAGAGAGAGAGAGAATATCTGAAACAGGGAGCTGTTAGCATAGACCCAGTCATGGGCTCGATCGCACGAACCTCCAGATCAGGACCTGAGCCAAAATCAAGAGTTGGACGCTCAACTGACTGGGCCACACAGGCACTCTCTTTTTATTTAATTTTAATACAAATGGATGCATGCTGTACATTATATTTTTCTCTTTGTATTTTTAACACAAAATGGTAATATACCACGCACTATTATAAACAAGGTTGCTATGAATAATCTTATATTGTCATGCATGAGAATGTATCAGTAAGACAAAACCCTAGAGGTATACTTGCGGGGTCAAGGGTTGTAGGTATTATCTAGAGAGAGACCATTAAAAGGAAGCATCTCTTAATTCTGACCCTTTATTTACACAATGAATTGCTTGATCTCTTCAAATTACCTAAAACTTGTTTGAGCATGCAAATAAATACTATATGCTTTTTAACATTATAGAACCCTTCAATTATATTTTTATATTTTTGTGACAAAGAAACTGATCATGGGATTAATAATAACGATGAGTTTTCACAAGTGAAAGTGAGCCAGTGCAATCAGTTAACAAAATGCATAGAAGACAAGTGATAAAGGAGATGTGATTTAAAATTAGGTAATGACTGGATTGGATTCAGGTTAAATATTTTCGGCAAGGGTAGTTCAAAGGTGAAGGTGTATACTTCGTATCACAGGCAAGTAATGAATGCTAGGTCGTTCCTTGTTGCTGACACTGCTCTTTGTAGCATAAAGGTACGTTTTTTTTCTTTTGCAGTTAAGTAAGCTGTCTCTGGGTAGATTAGTTCTGATAATTGGCAGGTTATTTCTGTTCCCCATTGACTTTACCAAGTGGTGTTATCATCGTTGATTCTTGCCTGGATTAATTACCTCAGGGGTGGCAAAAAGGTAATATTCTAATCTTACCACTCCTTTTGCTTATTAGCTGGCATTCTTCTGTAAAGAAAAGCTTTTTATTCCTTTTCTTTTCAGTTCTGTGGACACATGGATTTTTATTTACTTATTGTTATAGTCAGTGACTATTTATTTTTATTTTTTTTTGGTGCTCCAAATTCACTGAATTGGCCCAGCAGCAGCAGCCCCTTCAGGATGGTCTCTGTGACCTTGAACCTCATCCGTTTAGTCTTTTAACATTTCCTAGCTTTTTCTGACAGAACACATGACATCTTAGGGTCTTTCAGACCACAGAACTACAATCAACCTATTCTTTAGGGAGCTTTGGTGCCTTTTACTGGAGGATGGTGCTGAAAGCCAAGAGTTAGGCTTTCGGTGTGCTCAGTGCTGTTGGGATGTCATTTCTTTCAGTGGACAGAGCTAGAAGTACGTTTTAGTAATAAAGTAATACTGGTATTTTAAATTAAAAGTGATATTTAGAGTTTTTAAAATATCTTTTGTTTTATAGTAGTATGTTTTGAATCTTAATCGTAATATTTACTTATTTGCTGCTTTGTCTTTCAATATATAAAAAATTATTTCAAAATTACGCTTTTAATCTCTTACCTACCAGTAAGACTTCTGAGTGAAGTTTAAGTCTCTCGGGTTTCTTACTTTATTTATTTAACTTTAGAGAGAGGGAGAGGAGGGAGAGCATTTGAGTGGGAGTGGGGGAGGAGCGGAGGGGGGACAGAGAGAAAGAGACATTTTTTTTTTAATGTTTATTTTTGAGAGAGAGAGAGAGAGAGACAGACAGACAGACAGAACGTGAACGGGGAAGTGGGCAGAGAGAGAGGGAGACACAGGATCCAAAGCAGGCTCCAGACTCTGAGCTGTCAGCACTGTCTGATGTGGGGCTCGAACCCACGAACTGTGAGATCATGACCTGAGCCAAAGTTGGCGCTTAACCAACTGAACCACCCAGGTGTGCCTAGAGAGCGAGAGAGAGAGAGAGGGAGGAAGGGAGAGAGAGAGAGAGAGAGAGAGAGAGAGAGAGAGAGAGAATCTTAAGCAGGCTGCATGCTCAGTACAGAGCCTGACACAAGGCTCAATCCCACAACCTTGGGATGATGATCTGAGCCACAATCAAGAGTTGGGCGCTCAACTGACTGAGCCACCCAGGCACCCACCACCACCCCCCCTTTTTTTTTTTTTTTTACAGTTTTTTACTGTAATACTATCAGCAATATAGTATAATAGTCACTGTTTATACATCACTTACCATTAGCATAGTCGTGCTAAGTGCTCAAAGAAGTTATGTACTTTGCTCAAGTTCACATAGCTATTAAGTAGCAAAGCTGGGATTTGGGTCATTAAATTATTATGCTGTTAACAATAATCCCTTTACATGTATATTCACAGCTATATCCTGCATACCAGTCTGATGCTAAAACTTATTTGTCAGTGGAACTACAACAATTTGTAGTTATGCAGATTTCCTCAGTGAATGAATAACTTCAATCACAAATAGTAATTGTTAAGTTATCAAGCCTTGAAAATTAGGAAGAATTTAATATTTATTTATGAAAATGCACACCTGAAGATTAGCAGTAGGAAATGAAAATGTGTTATAAGAGCACATCAGAAAAACAGAACTTATTCCTTTTCTTATGTGTATCTTAACTTGTAAATGATGCAATGTTGTTCAGGCTTGGAAACACATTCATTTTGGGATGAAGTTCCTGCCAAAATAATAAAAATTGTAAAAAAAATACGGGCAGTAAAAAAACTTGAGGTCTTTAATAAAGTGCTCATTCATAGGATTATGACTCCAAAGATTTACTGCTGAAAAATACTGACTAGTGGTTTTGCTGACACATTAATGGCCTCAGGAAGAATCTTCATAATGCTTTCTAAAGCTCTGTTTTTGAGGTAGGAAACTTACTTTATTAGCGAAGCCCAGAATGACTGCAGAAGGAGTGGTTTCCACCGGCTGTGGTGCTGTTTTTACCAAACTCAATTTTTCTGACTTTCTTAATTACTCTATTTAGGTTACTTTATAAAAAATCTCCCAAATAAAAGTCCAGGTGATTTATTACATATGTGGAAATTATATTCTTTAAAAATCTTTAGTAGTTAGTATTGAAGTATGTTTTAACAACTGTCAAAGATTGGCACCTTTTCTTTTGGTTATTTTGAAATAATGCAGTGTTGAAAGACATAGGCACTTTACCTACACAAGCTACACGTACGTTTCCCATAGACTGTACAAGTTCATCTCAGTGGATCAGAAATTAAATTTACACATGGGATTTCAGACAGCGCCTTTTTCTTCACACTGTTCACATTTTCTTTTAATTCTGGTAGCTAGAAGTGAAGCTAAGAAAGAATATTGGTTTTGGAATTAGGCAAGTCTGGTTTGGAAGGATGTCCCCTCTGCTTCTCTGGTGTGTTACCCTAAAGCAGTAAATGTAAGAGAGAACAGCATGAGACAGTAAACAGGGAGTGGAGTGGTTATGAGGCTAGGCTCTCAGGTTTTTATCCAGGCTTCAGAATCATTTGACTATGTGATCTGAGGCATACAACCTTACTTCCTTGAACCTCAGTTTTTTTGTCTGTAAAATAGAAAAATAATTTAAGGACCTATCTCTTACAATTAGTTTTAGCATTGAATGATATACATGAAGTACTCAGGACATGCCCATCACCTGAAGATGCTCAGTGTTTTTATTTCCTTTTCCAGTTATTTACTTTTACTCAGGGATCCAAAGAAACGTAACATTATTTTTTTTTTAATTTTTTTTTCAACGTTTATTTATTTTTGGGACAGAGAGAGACAGAGCATGAACGGGGGAGGGGCAGAGAGAGAGGGAGACACAGAATCGGAAACAGGCTCCAGGCTCTGAGCCATCAGCCCAGAGCCCGACGCGGGGCTCGAACTCCCGGACCGCGAGATCGTGACCTGGCTGAAGTCGGACCCTTAACCGACTGCACCACCCAGGCGCCCCGAAACGTAACATTATTTTAAGAGTATAGGCATATGGAAATAAGTTTCTGGAGGTAAGGACTTACTAGGTAGGATAAATTACTAAAGAAATTGAAGATCTCATCACAATCCTAGAATTATGATGTTGGAAGTGACCCGGAGGTCTTTTAGAATCTAGATCATGTAACTCTCTGTGTGAAATCAGAATCATCTTTAAAATGTCAGTGTCTGGGGGCGCCTGGGTGGCTCAGTCGGTCGAGCATCCGACTTCGGCTCAGGTCATGATCTCACAGTTCGTGAGTTGGAGCCCTGCATCGGGCTCTGTGCTGACAGCTCAGAGCCTGACGCGGGGCTCGAACTCACGGACCGTGAGATCATGACCTGAGCCGAAGTCGGACGCTCAACCGACTGAGCCACCCAGGCGCCCCATCTGTCTCCCTCTGTCTTAAAAATAAATAAAACATTAAAAAAAATTAAAATGTCAGTGTCTAGCTAGTTTCCAGGCTCCCCTTGAACTCCTCCAGAGACAAGGAACTCACTACTGAACAAGG